GTTTGGTTTCACTGCCTTAGTTCCTTCTACTTTTTGGAGTAATCATAAATCTACTAATGTTCCATCAGATAATATTCTAATGTCTTATTGGAAATATAAAGAAGTTTTGAGCCTTTCATTGTTCTCTTTTTATCATCCCACAAGTAATCGGACCAATGAAATACACTGTATTTTGTTAGCTTGTACTTCATTGGTGTTTTTCTAAAAATTTGTAAGTAACAGCCCACCTTGTTAAGCAAACCAACTGTATCTGATAGCTTTAAAAAAATGTACTTGATGTACAGAGCAAATTAGGCTTTTGTAACATTCCTGAAAGTAGTTTTTTTTAAGATAAATGGTGCCGCATTAGCAATGTGTGATTTTTTTTTTTAATGGTTTTACAATATTAATAATATAGCGGGACAAAGATCTAGCATAGTTACAAGTAGCATTTCAAACATGAAATCACTTTTTACTTCACCACTTCTATCCAAAAAAAGACTTTTTTTTCCAAATTATTTTATTTATTGTGGCTATACAGTTCTTTCTCAAGATCTTGATACTCTAATTTTAATGACTTGGAAGATCGCCCTAGCTGTAGGCCCAGCATATGTTCCATTAGCTTTAATTTAACTCGACTGATAATATTCTCATTCCTGTCAAGCATGTTGAATTTCTAAGACTAGCCCTGTTGACAATCCAGTAGATGCTTTTCTTTCTGGAGAATAAATCTGAGTTTTCTTCTACTTCATTAACCCCCACACTGCTGTTCCAAGACATGGAAGAGCTACTCTGTCCCATGATATATGCTTAAAAGGAAAGACCTGTTCTGACTGATTCTTCTTGTGCATGTCTGTAACATCTTTCAAAACATTGGCTCAAAGCATTGTGTTCTTTCTGGATACATTTGAGATGAGTGCTTATTTAGAAGGGATGGAATGGAAATACTGGTTTCTTGTCTTGTTACAGCTGCTGCTGTTAGCTGCCTGTTTTATCACTTTATTTGAAATCCAGTGGCTTAAGAATTGGAGTAATTTATTAAAACTTCTGCATGATAATCTGTTGGGTTTGTTTTTTTTTGAAACGTCAAAAAATCCTCAGAGTTGCATTGCTCAGAAAATACCCTAAATCTGTGCTCTCAAATTGATTCTAGATTTTTTTTTTGTCGTCTTTTCTTAGCTTGTAACATCACACACAGAAAAGCCAGTTGAGTTCTGAAAGGCCTGAGTGTTGTAGGAATATTGGGAAGGGATGGAGCCTTTAAATTTTTACCTAGTCTTTCATAGGGAAGGAAGTGTTTCTAAATTCCAGGCTTTGGATTTGGGATTTTCAAGTGGGGGCGAATAAAAGAATTCTTCATTTTATTTAGAAAGGCACAAGGCCATCTCTTTCATTTATACTAATCAAGGAAAAAGTGTACCGCTAAGCACTTTTTTTGGTTTGCTCATCATATTTACCTATCCCTTGTTTGCTTATCTCTGCAAAACGTAATAAACAAGATCTGCCTCATCCTTTTTAACAGGGATTTAATTTGTGGTTTCCCCCTTCTATTGATAGGGGTGTCACTTTCTAAGGAAAATAGGGATTTTAAAAAATGCAGTAGCATGTACTGACTTCAGCAGAAACAAAGTAACATTTCTGATAAGAGAGACATTTTGCTCTAGACACTTGTATACCAGCACAAAATTCTGTAAAAAGTGATAAACTTTGTATTTTTAACACAGGTCGGATTGGTTGTAATACCTGATAGCACAGCCGGATCTGTTCTGTGTGCCATAAATAAGCTCTTGGATCAAGCTTGCATCCTAAATGAAAATCTGCACAAGTTCTTAGCCTCTTGTTGTTATAGTCTTCTGTACTTTCTGCTAACTTTAGACAAAGAGGACGCAGAACACGTACAGAAAAGGTAATGTTGCTTTTCTTATTGCTTTAATTGTCTCTCCCATTAAAACCACAAGCGTATAGAGATGTAAAAATATAAGGACAGAACTCTTTTTCTCCTGTTTGTTTTTCGTCCATCTTCCTTACTCTGAAATAGCATTTGGATTTAAGAAACACATCTGTAAGGTTAGCTGGAATTATTTAAAAACGTAACTGAAACTTTCATCTCAAAGCTTTCACTTATCACAATTGTTCTAGTTAGATGTCAGAACAGTACTGACTTTAGAAAGGTAGATGTTTATACCTTAATCTTTAGATTGAACCTTTGGTTTCATTAGATACATTGAAAAGCACAGTGTAAAGGATTTGGCTTTGTAAGTTTGCACTATAACTTAAATATTCAAGCTTTAGCAAAACTTCTCAGGCATCATTTTATAGACTGACAATGCATTTGATTGATTAAAAAAGAAACAGATATCAGATTTAAATACGTTTGCTTACCTCTGCAGCAGAAATGTCTTTAAACAATTTAAACTTGAGTTTTTTCCTGTAACTTCCATGTACAAGAAAACTGTCGTTCAAAGCTCAGTTTTAAAATGTGTTTAACGCTAGATTCCTCCTTCACTTACAATGTGTATTACAAAAAGCAGATTTTATTGTTTAATTTCTTGCAAGTCTTAAAGATTCAAGTGCACCTGAATTATAACTGAAATTAAAAAATGCTTCCCTGCTACATCAAGCAGAGATTACGCTGTGTAAGAACTTCAGCAACATTTGTATCCTGAACCCTAATTTTTTTTTCCTTGCGCTGAACAGAATTTTAGAATATTTTCAAGTTTAGCATTTTTTGGTACAGACTTGCTGCTTCAACATTATTTGTAAATATAATCATGATTGCTACCCTCACCATAGAGGCACATTTTCTTGTACAGATGAGAAGATAAGTCACAGAAGCATATTTGGAATAAGTGTCTCTGATCATTTCAATTTTTGTTCTCTTTTCCTCTCAGGGATCTGCTGTGGGGATCATGTATTTCTGCATTAGCACTCCTGCCCCGATTACTGAGACTGATGCTGCAGAGTCTTCAAGTGAACAGGATCTGTCAGGAAGAACTGCCTGTTGTTGCTCAGTTGCTTCGCTTACTAATGCAACATGGTCAGCTCAGGAGCCATATGGCAACAAATGAATTTCTGGTGCAACAGATTATCAAGGACATTATGGTATGAAACTTTTTGCTGTCTCCCAGAGACTACATGGATATATTTCATGTTTATATTTAAAAATTATTACAAACCCTTAAGAAAAAAAAAATCGTAAAAACAAGTTACAGTTGTCTTTTGTCTTGGCAGTGCAGCTCACATAGTAGGCTGCTACTTGTCTGAACAGCTGTAGTCATCACACAAACGAGGCAGTTGTGAAGTTTAGTTTGCGCTCATCCAGTGACCCTTGGCAACAAGTCTGACTGTCTATGCTGTTCTGTTGGTAACAGTTCTCATGAAGACTGGGGGCATTGAGCTTTTCTGCCTTAAGTAGCACCATGCTTACTTGCATTTTTATTGACTATAAATTCCAGAATTTGAAAGTACGCAAGCCAGTGTAATCAAGAGTAAGGAGAGCACATCTGGTGTAATTCATATACTTCATAATGTAACACTGACTTAGTGTACCAAACAGTAAAATTTTATTATTTCATTATTAACAGACATACCATGTTTCAATATCTAAGTAAGAAGAAAGATGCCACTGTGTGCAGGTGAACAGGCCTGTCTTGAACCTTTAACAGAGCAGCTGGTTAACTGTAAAAACGAAGTCCACAAAACTTGACAAATACTGTTGGTGAAATTGAGCTTTATGTTCTTTCCCTTCTTTCTAGACTCTGAAGAGTGGTGAAGTTCAAGAGCAATGGCTAACAGACCTCCATTACTGTTTCAACATCTACCTTGCCTCTCATTCCCAGGGACCTGGCCCTATAAGCACGGTATATTAAAGAGGTGGAACTACATATATTGTAAAGCATTTACTTCTATTTAGTTTTGAATGGAAGATGTTGGAACAAAGTTTGTCAATTTTTTTGTAAGTGAAACTCGAAATAAAAATTTTACAAAGAACTGCATATCTCTTACCATTCTCTTTAAGCAAGTAAAACAACTTCCACTAAAGTAGTATTTAGTAGATGTGGTGACCACAGTGAAGGGTCAACTAAGGCACATCCAACCTCCTTGAAGCTTAAGTGCTAGTAGAGAAAGGAAGAGACTTTTTGACTCCAAATCACCTATGATTTCTAAGCATCATATAAATTAAAAAATTTACAATTATGTAATATGATTATGTATTACAATTAGGGAAAATCAAAATACAATATCCTTTGAAACTGGAGCAACAATTCTTTTTATTTTTGGTGACTTCATACTTTTAAAGACTTTGTGCAACATTATTTTGCGTAGGCAGGTCCAAAACTATTATAAAAAACTTGAGTTTCCTTCCAGAATGGGCCTCATCTTCTCTTCTCTTTTGTAGAAAGAAGACTCCTCTTGTGCGTGTATAAAAATACAATTATTTCATTAATGAGGGGAAAAAACTGATGATTATCTCAAAGATTAAAAACACAGGCTGTGGAAAAGAAGTTTATTTACTGAGAGTGAGAGATATATATATATATATGTGTGTGTGTGTGTGGATATAGATAGATAGATATTTCCCCATCAACATTTATATTTATTCCTCTAAATCCATAGCAGGCCAAGACATAACTTGTTTCTTTGGTACAAAATTGGCACATGAAGGCTGTTCTTCCTTTTCTGTTTAGGTTTCGAAATACATTTGGAGTCAAATCTAACTGCAGCCTTTCAGAACTGTTGCATCCTTAGCGCAATTCTCCTCTCCTTTGAAAGTACATTTAACGAACACATTCAAAATACCTACTTTTGTGAATGGGAAACTTTTGGAAAGTTGAGCCACTGCAACCTTATTGTAATGCCAGTCTTAGCACTTAATTTTCTGTTTCCAAATGCAATTCAGATTTCATCCTGTCAGTACATAAATGAACTGTTGCATTTAAAAACTCATTTGTACACAAAATAAAATGAGTCCAACTCCCCTGGAAGTCTGCTTGGCATGTAATGCTGAGGTAAATACAAAATTGAAAATACCTGTTATAGTTTAATAGGTTCTTACATTACAAAAAATACCAGTTGTACAGGAAAGTGTTCTTTAAGTTCTAACCATTCCGTTTTGCTTAATGCTCGAGTCTTGTATTTTTTGATTTTGCAGCAGTGGTTGGTCTCATGTTATATGAAAACTGCTTTGATTTTCCCATGTTCTCCAGCAAATTAACATACTGTAGGTTGTTTACTGCAAAAGAACAGAATGGTTTTGGTGAATTACACTGGTTTGAAGGAAGAAAAGTTTTAATCCACACTGGGTTCTAGATTTCATAAGCAATGAAGCTACCATGAAAAGAACCTGCCTCTTTCATGACATCTCACTGTTAATTATCTGTAGTTAGTTATTGTTCTTGCACTCAGTACAGCTTAAAACACTACTGCAGGTGTAGCTTTGAGAACCTATAATGGAACTTAACTTAAGATTTACTCTCACAAATGATTGAAGATTTTCAGGCTGACACCTCAGTCACAAACAATGCTGTTAGCTGAGTTTGCTGAAGAGCGACAAGGGACTTTGTTTAGCAATATTTCTATCTTCTAACGTTAGGTACTTGGTCCTTTCTAGAATGTGTGGGAAGTTTGTGTCCATGGCTAAAGCAAATATTCTCTGAATTACTACAAAGCAAAAAATGATTATCAGCAGATCCTCTTCATAGTTCTGAATCTGGTTTTTATTTACTGTAGTCTATTATAACCAGTTGTGTTGAGATTGGATGCAAACGTTTAAGCCAAGGTCAGCTTGGCCATATTTAGTTCAAAGCTGACTATCCCATGAAAAAGAAGCCAGCTTTTCATCTCCAAGACCTGTTTCTAACGCCAAAAATTCCAAAATCCCCTCCTCTGCAACTGTAAATGCACTTTGATGTCCAAAGTGGAACAAAAAAATGGCCTCGTCTGTCTGCTGGCCTGCTGCAGAGAGCCTCCTTAAGTACAGTATTACAACAAAGCTCCCTGTCATTTACTGAACTGCCAAAAGATGTCTATTTAAAAAAAAAAAAAAAGCAACAAGTTTAGGGTTGCAAGTGGTTTTCAATTGGTTTTGGAGGGGTAGAGGCACAATTTGCCTACACCTGTCCTCAGGAATAAATTTTTTTAAATGTCTACCCAGTGTCTGCATACACTACACTTTTTCTGCCTAGCAATCATCCCTTCTCCCCCTTGCCCCTTACTTATTTTAACAGCTTTGTACATTTCAATACCTGCTGCGTGTCCCCACACCAAAGTGGTTGCTCTGCTTATGCCAATAAGTTAAATGTTTGGTGTCAGTTTCCTGTTACAGATTTGTCACTGCTTACTTCCTCCATGAGCTATAGGAGCATTAAAACTAGGGCTGATTGACAGTCAGTCTTCACCTTCCCAGATGTACCTTCGGTAAGAGAAGACTCAAACTGAACAGTCCAGTCTGACCTACTCCAGGCACCTACGTCAGAAATACAGTAGCTGGCATTAGCCACTGACAGCTCTGAACTTTTCCAGCTAACGTAATGTTGTCATGCACAAAAGCAGGCAGATGAAAAGCATGTTATTGTCTTTAAGTCAGGGCTAAAGTTCCCTGAGTTCCTATTAGGTGAATGAAAGTAGGCACTGTTCTAAAGGAACTGGGCAAAGTTCCTATCGCTAGCCTATTCGTCACCAACTTACTTATGAAAGAAAAGGCCACTCAAACCTCAAAAGAAAGCCTTTTATTTCAGGAGACAGGGAGATCTGTTGTCCTGAAAAATTAAACGAAAAGCAGCAGCATGTGCTAGAGATGTTTTAAAATTTAGTTTCATGAGTGCAATGAAGAGGTGGCAATGAAACACCTGGCTGCTGATGCCTCCTAGTGAAAAAGCATAAAGAGAGTTTTTTAAAATAGTGGGGGGGGGGGGGGGGGGGGGGAAAAAAAAAGCTTGTCTCTTAGTGAGACACAAAGTAACCTACAATTCTAGTATGAATTCAAAGATAGGTCTACTGGTGGATTTCTTTTTGACGTCAGCGTTTTGTAAACTAATAGGGGAAAAAAGTGTATTTTATTTTCCTTTGCAAATTATCCTTACCAGCTCCTTGAAGTATTTGCTTTCTTACTATCATCTGTGGCATGACTTTGAACCGTGTATGATATGACCACGACGTTCAAGTGATCAACAGTGTCCTAGTGCTTCATGTGGTGGAAGGCTAACATTACCAAGGCCACCAATCACTGAGTAAGTGCATAAGACACTTGAAAAATTCTCAGAAAGGATATATACTAAACAAGTAATAAGCGATGATCCTGCCAAGTTTCCACTGCTTTGCGTTTACGTTATTGAAGACATTACTGTCCTCATACCAGTTTTATACATAAGATTTCAGTTACAAACAGAACTCAGGCTTTCCCAGGGAAGAGCTGGTAATGACTCCATGGCCTTTGATATAAATGCATGCTTTCTTTAGAGTCTGAACACTTATTCCAAGTACAATTTTATGAAACAGTTGAGGTTCTATGCACAAGACAGGAGCACCAATATGTCATTTTTGAGGCAAGAAGAAAGGGCAGAGATTAGCAGCGTATGAACATGAATTGTCTAATTAAGAAAAAAAACCTATCTTGGGGATAAATTATCATCTGTCTGGATAGTAACTTTGAATTTTTATTTTTTTGCACATGAATTCAACTGTATGTTTCTAACTAACTAACTGAGGTGTGTAAATTCTCAGTATCCATATTGGGAAAAAAATGAGAAAACACTGTCACCTGTATTTCCATAGGGTTGGTAAATATATGGGCTGATTGATAAACCAAAGTAGAAGCCTCTCTAAGCAACTTTCCTAGTAGCAGTTCAATGAAAGTAGGTTTTCATACAAGGCAATATGAAGCTAAAAATGCACCACTTGAACAAGTGCAAAAGTAATGAAAGAAAGACCATTTAAGCACACCAGACTGGCAGTAGTTACACGTTTTGATGCAAGAGCCCAGCACTTGAACAGGACTTTTTTCTTCCTTAAGATGAAGCTAAACTCATGTATATAAACATTAACAATTATAGGAATATAATTATTTTAAGGTGTGTTTGTCTTACCTGAGGCCAGATGCACATCAGAAGGTTTAAGCTTAGAGGGAGGTCTTGCTGGCTGATACACTTTGCCTTCCTGAGAACGTCCTTTAATAAACAGTATGGACAGATTTTTTTTTTTTTAATTTATCATATGAAGAGGTGGTTATAGATAGTTATAAAGTATTTAACTTGGCTGCAGATTTATCTTAACGTCAAAAATATTTTCATGTAAGGTTACATTTATGGTGAGGAGACTCATGAGACGTTCTGTATGACAGGAAATTGTTACAACTCTAACAGAACTCTACATACGCTTTGACTACATCTTGCAGTTGCTATATAAAAGAAGGTACATTAAATGATGATCAGCTTTGATTTTTTTTTTTTAATCTTTTTTGACTAGCTAAACTATAGATCCATGATAGAAATGACTTACCACCTGTTAAAATACATATAGCTAGCACATCCCTACTCGATCAGTAATCTACACTGCAATGGAACTCAGGTTTAAAAAATGTTTTTCCTCTATTATTTCTCCAAGATGCATTCCTTTGTACAGTGCATGTTCTGGCATTATGCAAAGCAGGGCAATACTATCATAAAAAGATAATAATAATCTTTTTTAAAAATGAAAACATCTTCCAATAAAGAACAGCTGTCTTCAAACAAGAAAGGTGTTAAAAACTGAACAAGAACATACTCTTAAAATTATTTAAAAAAAAAAAAATCAAAAGAACAAAAAGTTGTAAACAATGCTTAAGAAGTTAAACTACAATCCAGATGATAACCACTATGCACAGATATAGCTAGCTATACCCAGTTTAACTGCTCTAGTCTCCTCCTATAGTTATGTATGATGTGAGCAGCTCTGGCAACAGATTTATTTGGTTGCTTAGGCCCTGTGCTGGAATAATGATATGAAGTGATTCATACAACTTTAGAAGCAACCACTGTAAGCCACAGAGGTAATTTTTTTCAACCTGATAAAGGAAAAAAAAAAATACCCAGAACCCCTGAACTAGGATTCTGACTAATTTTTATAAATAGCTTAAATCTTTAACAATTAACAAATAGTTTACAATTAGGTAAGATACCACTAGAAGAATCCAAAATAGAGAGAATAGCATTAGTTATAAAAATAAAAGTGTAATTCCTAAAACTAAAATATAGTGAAGACAGAATTACCATATATCTGCTTAAGGATGGACTGCTTGCTTGTTTTTAAGGCTGAACTGGTTTTATTTATAGATTTTAGATTTTTGCATGAAGAATCTGATTTCAGAGGGCTATGGTTCAGCTGTTTCTTCCAAGCAACCTGAATGAAGACGGCAGCTGTCTCTTGTCTCCATTTGTCTTCATCTTCTTTGCACTGCCGCTTAGCTCTAAGAAGCTGAAACAACTCCCGTCTTAGCTGGTAACTAGAGAGCAGAAAAGAGAAGAGCACTTGTTTTATGTGACCTGTTTTAACTTCAGTGTTTGCCATGCATCAGTTCACATGGCGGATTACATGAGTAACTGGGAAAACAGAACTCCCACTGATGTGCTAAGTCATTTGGATGAGAAATGTTTGCTCAGAAGACAAAGTAAGACCTGGGTTCAATTCTAGATGCATCTGTTTGTTAATTTCACACAGTTACTGCAGATTTGGCATTACCAGTATCAAAAGTTACAGCACTGCAACATCAGCCTACCTGATGCTTTATAATATACAGAAAATCTAGAAGAGACAAAAAACTGTATTTTGAGGTAATATTTATGATTATATGTATGATAAACCTGAGCAGCTTTCTACGCACTCTCTGAAGATTCTCCCCAACCTTGCTTGCAGCAGTCTCTTGGTTTTTGCTATTTCCCCTTCCCTTCAATTGCTCCCTGTCTGCCAGCCTTGCCACTGCTGCTATGGTCTTGCGGGCATTCACAGTTCTGTTCCCAGTGACAACTGTAGGCTACGTGACCTTCCCACTTCAGTGACTAATGGAACCAGCCAAAGAGTTGCATTTTTTTTTTCTTGAATCAGATATTCGTATTTCATAAAATATTGGCATTTCACACTCACAAATCAATTAACTGGCCTACTAATTAATTCTGAATCTTCCCAATACAAACCTGTCACACAGAAACATTAAGTAACACTTGTAAAATATTAATTACAAATGTTTGGTAACAGGCCAAAACACACTGATCACCAGTCCCCTCTGGCATTCATAAAGGCTTCCACTGGATGTCTCAGTAAAGGGAGTAAGAAAGGAGGGAGAATGAGGTGATTTTGTTCTGCTGGTCCATCTGCAACAAGCTGTCAGTTAAAACAAAAGACAACACAACCAGGGACAAATTATTTAAATATATATGATAAGAAAATATATAAGATAATTCAAACAAAACAGCTGTCACATACAGAAAATGAGTACATAAAAGCATTATAGAACACCCATATATAGGACACACACACACACACGGACATGCTCAATTAAAGTGCCAATGATTTTAAAATTTCAATAAATTTTACCTCTGTGAAATTTGCTTTTTGAAACAAATGTATTTAATCTTAATTTAGTGGAGCATCAGCATTCAGGCATATACTGTCATACAGTTCATTAACGTAGGTAACAAATGTGGGGAGCGACCGTAACACATGCTTATAGGGGCCTACAAGATGTGAAGCACTGTATAAATTTAGAACAGGAACATTTTAGGAGACAGAACAAAATGATCCAATTTTGTTAAATAACAAGTCACTTACTTAGAACTTTTAAATGAGGAATGAGAGGAAGAGAAAGTGAAGGGGCAGATAACTACTGGACTTGCTAACGTAACTTTTGCTAAGAAGGGGGCATGTTAATGCTCATACAGGGAAAAAAAGGGTGGGGGGGGGGGGGGGGGGCGGTTAAACGTTGACAAAAATGGGGGGGGGGGGGGGGAGAGGGACTGTTAATAGTTGAACAGAAAAGAATACTAAGCTATTCTGTTTGTTAGACTTAATTTCACCTTTTCACCCAGTTGTGATTTGGTGTTTGTAGAGAATTTTAGTAGTTTTTTTGCAACAAGAAAACAACTGTGATCCTCTGAAACAGAGACGATGTAAGCAGTTATTTTTAGACTGTGTGCACATTTCTGCATTAAGATCCGCCTGTAACTGTCAGTCAGATTCTAGTGGGAAAGGAAAAGTGGGAGTTTGATCTCTGTGAATCTAGTATGCCACCTCAACAAAATATCCAATGCTCAGTCGACAAAACTACTGCACATAAAATAAACATGCAGTGTATGTGCAGAAGAGGAAGCGGCAGAGCTAGCAAATGGTACTTTCAGATTCTTTGGTACAGAGACTCTGATTTTAAAGATACTTACTGCTAGTAAGGTACACTCATAGCAGTAATGGACTGAAGACGCTTGATGCCAGCCGGAGACCAACAGGAACAGCAACCAGCTTATCCCCTGCTTTTGTCAGCTCACTGCAGGCCCCAGAGACCGGTACAGGCCTCCGTGCCCCAGACAAGAGAGCAAGCCAGACATGGGCACTGTAAGCCTCAGTGAGCAGGATAAGCAATTAACCTTTGGCAAGTCACACACCTTAAAATACACTTTTCAGGACTATATTTGTAAAGTTTGTGGACTGTGGGAATTGGAACATTTTTCTGAGACAGGGAAGTTTAATATACTTAAGGAGACCAGTACCACAGTGATGGCAATACAGAGTGGTAGAGGGGCTTAGCAGGTTATAGCTCACAATAGCTTTCAATGATAGAGTAGATTATCACTAAAAAATTTTCAGAGTGAGACAAATGTATTTAATCCTTGTTTAGAGACATGCCAGAACTCAAGCATATGCTTCCACATGTTTCATTAATGTGTAATTCCTCCATTACTGTCTACAGGTACATGCTATTTACCAGTGCAAGCTTGGACCCAACAAAAGACAAACACAGGAGTGAGTGGGACCCAGAGCCAGCCGTATGTTAGGTACCTATTTAGTAACTATAAGTAGCCATATAGTGCACAGGCAGAGTTAGGCATTTCAGAGGCAGCACCAGAACAACAGCATATCAGAGCAGGGAATCAGCATAAACAGCTGCCCGGGGGGGAGCTAGCTGGAAACACTATGACTTCTTGGCAGGCAGGTGCATCTCACTTGGGAGCCACATCCCAAAATATCCACATCTCTTGTTTGAGGTACATATAAACTCTCCTTCAAAGAAAGAGGCAGAACTCTTTTCTTTTTAAAAACAAACATTGCCACCACCATGGTTATAACTTTGAAATAAGGAGTAGGAAATCTGGTCCAGTTTCACAGTTCTCATCAGCCATGTGGGTTTCCAAACACCCAGACAATAAAGTTCTCGCTGAGTTTGAACCACAAGCAAAAAAGGGAGCAGAACTCATGGGCCTGAGAAAGAGAGGCTAAGAGGGGAGCATATGACTCTTCTTACCACTTCGATGCCCTCACCTCAGATATCGTCACTGCTCTTTTCTGTGTTATACATTAAAATACTCATTCAAATAAATGCATTATGATATTGCTGCACACTTTATGAACTCCTTCATCAAAGCTCTGGGAACAATAAACTTGGCACTAACAGAAGCAATGACAATACAGGAACTGCAGAACTAATGGCTATTGCAATCTTGCAGAATTTATCATCTTCCTGACTGTTCTATAAAATATTTGCGAGTTTTTTCAGAGAGTACAAATTTATTTATTTTTCTTCATTAATTCTTTAAAAAACAAATGTCATTTAAACAATCTTTAATTCCCACATTTTGCATAGTGTTGTGAATAAGTCAGTAACTTCACCTACTGCCAAGCAACCAGTCTATACATCGAACTTTGTGCATTTCATGCTGAGATAACACACACTACTATTTTAATGGGTGAATAGAATAAAAAGAAATGTATCACACAGCCCAAACTTCAAATGGAATGCAAAGTCTTCTACACAGGTAGTTGGCACAACATACCCGAAAATCTCAATTAAATTGAATTAAATTACATCTCAATTCTTGTGAGGAAATTCGCATAAGCATTCACTATACGTCTTTACACTTCAACTGAAAGCTATACTCTGCTCTTACTCCTTTCTGAGGATTCAGTGTCAACTAAGTAAAAAGCGCAAAGAGAGCTGATGGCAGATGTTGATCGTTAGGAAAAATAAGTGATTTCTTTGCCTTGCTGTTTACTGTGGGTTTGAGGAATAGTTATAATAGCGAAAGGAGATCCAAAAAGTTGAAATTTTCACAAAAAAGAGCTTCAAAATGAATTAAACATGTTTCAAGATTTTAACTTTTCACTGGAATAGGAATGTACTCACAAAAGCCAATATAACTTTTACACTGCAAAAATAATAGAGATAAAGGGAATTTTACAGGACTGTACATCCAATCTCCTACTGGGAAATTATTTAGAGTGATCAGTGAAAGAGCACAGTAAAAGATCAGTAAAAGGAGCAAAGAGAAGAATTTGCTGAGCCAACGCGAATGTTCAAATGGTTACATTTCGGTTTAGGAACAAAAGAACTGCCAGCTTGGACCACGGGCCATCCGGTCTGGTATGTCACCTATCTAGGAACGGCCAGCCTCTGCTGTTTCAGAGAAAGGCAAAACTTCTTCATGCTTCGTAAGTTAACTGTATAAAGTAATGTGTGAAATAAAAACTCCACAAACAAGCTAGCAATACTCAGCCACCTGGTGTTTTGTGCAACAAGGAACATGGATGACTCCCCACTGTGCAAAACAAGTAACACAGTGGACCTCCAAAGCCACGAAACATCACTCACAATCTTACGCCTCTTTACTGTCTTGCACAGATATGCGTACTAAGGCCACAAGATCTTTTCTTTGCAAAATGGCATGCTTGTACACCAACAGTTCAGAACTGCGCTCTCTGAACCCTTGGTCATGGCCTTCCTTGATTAGGCCTAGAGGATGTGCTATTAGAGATACAAATAAATATTATACTGAAATGTGCAGTGTGTAGATGTTTAAGAGGTATGAAAAGGCATTCTAGTAGCAACAGCAAGATGCTAATGTCTGTCCCAACCTTCCCTGCAGAAGCAAAGAGATCATACAAATGTTCAGGAGTTGCATCCAAAAAAAAAAAAAAAACTCAGTAAAGTTTACAGGAGATGAGGGGGAAATGATAAAGAAACAGAGCCTCACATCAACTTTTTCCTGCAAGCAGGTGTCTCCAAGTACTCCACTCCTCTCTGTTTAGAAGAGTGCCAAGCTAGACTAAATTTCCTAAATTTTCTGGACAGATCTCTCTCCCTCCATGTGCCATGAGCTAGAATCGGGACAGTGGCTGAATAACCCTCTTGTGGCTGGATGAGATGACAAAGAGAGCACTCCCCTTGGCTCTCTGCTGTGGCAGAGAAGATCACCGGTTGGATGCAGATGCTGGGAAGACTGCTAACACTTTGCTGCCAGCACAGCAAGGGGAAGAAACAGCCCCTCTGAAATTTTCCACGGGGGAACCAGAACTTCTGTTTGCTATTTATAGTGGGATGGATTAGTCTTAACCAAGGGAATGCTGGCAGTTCAGCATTCACTCTGCAGGTACCTGGGCACGTGGGCCTTCCTCTGCAGTTGCAAGAGTTCTGCAGGTTGTTCAGGGACTACTATGAAGGAAGCTACTTTTGTCTGTATGCTCTTATACCTCTGCCAGCTGCCCCCTTTGATTCAAATTGCATGGTGGGGAACACATTTTGCATCTCTATTATACTGTACTATACCATGTGGTGTGACATTTGAGCCCTCAAAGGAACATCTCCGTTAATTTTTCTTTAACTGAATGCTAAGAAATATTAAAACACTAGTATAATAGAAATACAAAATTGCTAAACTAGTGAAACACCTGGAAAGACAAGTTATTAGTACAAATCAGTAACATATAATTTTCTACATCCGCATAAAAACTGAAGAAAATTTCAATAAAAAAGAGGAAATAAGAATTACATTATTTCTTATATTTTTCACCTACCCCTGCCATACTCTTGCTGTCAGGTTTGATAAGAAATTAAATACTACGAAGTACAAATACCAGGAAAGATCATACTTCTAAGGTCAAAATTCATGCATTTGGGAAAGTAGGACAATGTTGTGGAAAGCAAACATTGGGAGACCTCACTCCTTCCTGTCTTCCTTTTCTGTACAAGGGTCATTCCCGCTGTACAAAGTTACTCACGTTAGTTTCAAGTTTTGGCAATAAACTCCATCCAAGCCTCCAAACATTTTCTGCTTTGGTCATCCAGTTAAAAGTTAAGACAGAATACAGTTTCAAGGTGTGTCAGTAAATGGTGGTGAATGGTCTGCTTAAAAAAATCTGTGCTGAAAACTTCTAAATTCTGAAATGCCTGTACATCAACGCACGCAGTACGGGGAACAAGCAGGAGGAATTAGAGATCTGCGTGCGGTCGCAGGGCCATGATCTCGTTGCAGTTGCAGAGACATGGTGGGATAGCTCGCACGACTGGAAGGCTGACCTGGATGTCTACGTGCTTTTTAGGAAAGACAGGCCAGGAAGGCGAGGCGGTGGAGTTGCTCTTTATGTGAGGGAGCAACCAGAATGTACGGAGCTCTGCCTCGGGGTGGATGAAGAGCAGGTTGAGAGCTTATGGGTAAGGATTAAAGGGCAGGCTAAGAGGGGCGACACAGTGGTGGGGGTTTACTACAGGCCACCCGATCAGGATCTTCCTGAAGGTAGTCAATGAGGCCTTCTACAGACAGCTGGAAGTAGCCTCACGATCACAGGCCCTGGTTCTCATGGGGGACTTCAACCACCTTGATATCTGCTGGAAAGACAACACAGCAAGGCACCAAAGGTCCTGGAGGTTCCTGCAGAGCATTGAGGATAACTTTTGGACACAGGTGGTGGAGAAGCCAACGAGGAGAGGTGTGCTGCCGGACCTTGTACTAAGAAACAAAGAAGGTCTGGTTGGACATGTGAAGGCTGGGGGCAGCCTTGGCTGCAGTGACCATGAGATGGTGGAGGGCAGGATCCTGCGAGGAGGAAGCAGGGCAATAAGTAGGATCGCAACCCCGGACTTCAGGAGAGCTAACTTCAGGGACCTACCCGGAGGAGTCTCATGGGTGAGGGCTCTAGAAGGAAGGGGGGGTCCAGGAGAGCTGGCTAATATTCAAGCATCACTTCCTCCAGGCTCA